GCATTTTGGGTTTTCATGAGCTGTATGCCATAATCATCAGTATTAAAACAATTAAAGACCTGAAATATTTCAGTTGGTGTGCAATGAATCTGAAATATATGAAAGTTTCATTTTTATCATTACATTATGGAAAATAATGACCTTTATCACAATATGCTAATTTTTTGAGAAGGACCTGTATGTATATATGTATGTATGTGTGTATATATATATATATATATATATATATATATATATATATATATATATGTATGTATATGTTTGTATATGTATATATATAATGTATAATTTACATTAGGGTTTCTACTGAAAGTACATCACATCCTATTATATAGATTTATGATTGGTTACTGTTGCAATCAATGACTTCATGAACATTATTTGCAGGTACATTCAAGACTCTGTCAAAGGTCTCACAATATTCTTTACAACTCATTAAAAATCCAGAGAAACAAAAATATTCAAGCAGTCCACTGTCCTGCAGAGGCTGCTCCATCATCCCTGTCCCGTCATTCTGTACAGATCTCTGTCTCTGGCCTCTGAAGAGCCATATTGGCCTGGAGGAAGGCTCCCTGGCCCAGTGCTGTAGAGTAAGCCCGGTTGCTGTGGCTCACTGAAAAACCTCGGGTTGGGTATGATTTGGAGCCCCCATGTTTTTGAAATGAGGCCTGAGGTGGTGCTGGGTGGTAATCATCCAAGTTGTCATAGTGGGACTGCACAGATTTAGTGCCGTGTTTCTTGTGGACGTAGTCTCTGTCCAGGTCCGGTTTGCTCTGACTGTAGGTCTGTTCCTCTCGGATATTGTGGGCTTGTTCTCGGGGGGTCTGCTCGTCTGTACTGTGGTGAACACTGGATTTGACTTTAATCTGGGGGTGCTCAGATTCGGGACGCTCGTAACGTGTTTGGACGTTCATCTTGCCTGCATAGTCCTGTCTGTGTTTGGACCTGCTGACCTCTCCAGTCTTGGCATCATGTTGGACAGCCTCCTGCTGACGGGACTCACTGTGGCTCAAAGAGGCAGGGAGGGAGTGGGACGATGGGCATTTCTTGGAACTTTGTTTGAGAAGCACATCAGACTTGTCGCCTGCTCCACTGCCATGTTTCTCAGCCTCCATGTAGATGAAGACATCAGGATCAGACACCATGTGTCTGGGGAGGCAGCGTCCGTCTTTGCTCTCAGCTGCTACCAGCACTGCTTTACCTGGGTCTGATTTACTTCGCAGATGCAAGTTTTCATACCCTGAGACATCTGCTAGTGTGAAGAGACCCATATTGCCATACTGTGAGAGGACAGGGCCTCTTAGCTTCAGTCTGGCCCTGCTCTCCCTGCGGATGGAGTGCATGCGAAGCCTCTCTACTTCCTCTGGATCCCAGTGAGAGTAAGCAGCAGCTTCCTTGCCCCTGTGACCTGGGGGCATGTCCCTGCTGACAAAGCTGTGCTCCTTTCCAGGGGTAAAAACGTGATCAGCAAGGTAGTGGTACCCAGTGGCCTTCCCTGCTGGTCGCCCAGCAACAGCTTTGGCATCTCGACTGTCATAAGAGTGAAAATCCCGGATTCGGATCGTGCCATAAGGGTCTATGTCATAGTAAGGTGCCTCTAAGGGCCCTGAACCAGAGTATGGACTGTAGCGATAGTGGACCCGTCCATTCTCAAAGTAAGGCTGCAGCTGGGTGACATGGTAGTCAGCCTGTGAGGACTGGTGTGGGGGCTGCTGGTAGGATTTGCACTGATGCCCAGGCCTATAGTAAAAGAACAGGTCTTCCTCTGGGGGAACCTCAGTCCTTTGGATGGGCACTGAGTGAATATTGGAAGGAACATGAAATGAATGCACCCTGCGGATCGTGGGGTAGCTGTGGATTCTGTCATGGCTGTAACCTTGGTGACTTGGACCTGGTGACACATGGACACTCCGGGGGGTTCTTCTGACCTTCATAGAGTGATGGTATGACCTGGGCCCTAAAGTGCTGTACCTGTGATCTACTCGGGCACTGTAAGGTATCTGAGACTCAGACTTGGACATGTAGTCTGCTCTATAATTGTGAGGAATTGACTGCGGCTCCGGATGAACAGGCCTTTGCTGGTAGAATGTTGTCCCTGGAGGTTCAGTGAGGACTGGTTCTCCTTTGACATGATATAGCTGAGCTGGCTGGTGTGTGAAAGATCTACGAGGAGACAGAGGGTGATGGGGCGGAGCTTCCTCCTGGTGGCTGGCCTGAGAACCTTCATCAAGGATGTGATAAGAAGCTTCACTTTGGCTCAGAGCTGCTGTAGCCAGTTTGCTTTCCATGGTGCGAGTAGGAGGAGCAGGGGGAGTGGGTCCACAAGGTACATGGGGCTTTACAGCCTCTGTACAGGGCTGCACTGGCTTTATATCCTCCCAAGGTTTCTCAGCAGGTTCAGCAGAGGTGGGTGGTACCCTTGCACTGACCTTGGAATGGTGAGGTTGGTTCTGGGTCTGGGTGGGAAGCTGTACTGGAGGACAAGTTTGAATCTGAGCTTGGTTCTGCTGCTGAGTTTGTGTTCGAAGTTGGGAGGGTGAAACCACTGGCTTCTGGGTTTTCTGAGCAGCTGAGGGAAGTTGAACTGATGGCTTTAGAGGGACTGGTAGTGGTGTAGTCTCTTCAGCTTTGATCTGAGAAAAAATACAAACACACACACAAAAAGGTTTTATTTGTTGCAGTGGCATGAAAAGTTTTCCAGTTTTAAGCATACCTAAACTACAGTATATACAGACTATGGATGCACTGATGCAAATACCTTCACAAGGGGCCTCATGTACACAAACCTGCATGGATTTCCTACTGAAACATGGCATACACTTAAATCTTGAAAACAGCGTATACACAAATAAACCCAGATGTATGAAACCGTGCATACGCATGAATCCAAGTGCACTTCCTTTATGCCCCAATCAATGGGGAATTCAGCACACATGAGGAAATACCCGACTCCTCCCTCGACACTCCTCAATTTAAAAATATAATATAGATTTAAATCTGCCCAGCACCTGAGGAATCTCCTCTCTGCACTATAGAAAAGTACGTCTAGATGCAGGCAAAAGAGGAACTTCACGCAATGTGAGTTGGAGACATTTCTAAGTGAGATAGAGGCTCAGAAAAACATTCTGTTTGGGTCGCTGTCCTCTGGCATTAACGGCAAGCTCAAGAGGAGTGCGCGGGACAATGTGTGTAAATGCTGTGGGGTCAGAGCAGCACACCCACAAAAATTAGGAATAAATGGTTAGACATATTAAGATGATTTAATGAATGCACTCACCAAGAAGCCCCCCCCCCCTCCTTAACCCATCCCGCTCCGTGCCAGCTTTTTGTCTGTTCCAACCATGCTGTTTATTAGAATGAATGAAGTGTGTGTGTTGAACCAGTCCACCTCACCAGTGTTGGTTAGTTGTTTTTGCACATCTCTTATAATTCACACAGTGACTGAATAAAAATGCTTCCCGTTGAACAAATTCATCCTGTGACGGTGCTTTTATAGCAATGTGTGTGCAGTCGATTGCTCTGATTACATCAGGAAAACTGGCTGTCACTGCAAACTGTGCTTTAATGTTGGCTTGTTCAGCTGCATTGTGGGTAATTTGATATTCCTGGTTGACATACGGATCATTCCATCCCACACAGCTGGCATGGCTCAGCTCAGGGTGGACTGGTTCAGTCCTGATCGGTCTGCCAGCTCCCTCTGGAATGACCTGTTGCTATAGGAACCCCAGTGTGGTCAGCAGCTGCATGTGTACGGGCAGTGCATGGCTCCTCACTGTGTCACACTCCAAGACTGACATCAGCTCCAAGGACAGGTCCAAAAGGATTGTCCTAAAACATCTGATGACCCAGTTGTCATCGTTGGCCAGAACATCCTCTCTGTCTCTAAATACACGCTCTCTGAGTATTGCTCCATTTGTTAAATCCTGTAATAAGGCTGAAGCCGTTGTTGTTAAATAATTTTCTTTCTGCACCACTTTGTGCAGCTTTAATAACCACTCATCTAGTTGCATGCATGTGGATGTATTAATTGTTCAGCATGTGTCTGGTGTGTATAATAATAGTTCTCACATCATCAACAGTTTCCCAGCATCACCTCTATGTGTCGCTAACGGACCAATAAAAACATGTACGTCGTCGTGAAGTTGGCGTGCAGCTGCACACATTTCCACAATCATTTCATTCTTGATGCATCTCAAGTTTTGAGTGAAAAAGGACGTACATCATGATTTTGTGCCTTTGTACATGAGGCCCCTAGGCTGTATCCATATGCGTTTATTTGTACTCATGAAAGTGTTGATACTACAGTACCAATACCGCTTTACTGTAGAGTGATGCTTACCTCTCAGTTGAACAGTCAGGAGTTTGAGAAGAAGCAATGTCAGCAGTGTGAGGAAGATTTTTTTTTGGTTCGCTGTCCAAATCACAATTTATATCACTTGGTGATACCATAACGTTTTTTTTTTAATTGCCAATAAACACTACTAGAAGTAGAGGTGGAGGCATTTTAAAGGAAACGGTGGTGACAAAAGCAAAGTGGGCTGCAAATTCTGCTCAGCAAAGTTATCAAGAGTATGAAGAGAATCTAGCACTTTCAACACAAGCATTTTGATAAAACCTCTAAAAACCAACATGATGTCAAGTTCAAAGAGCTTGCTAACAGCTGTGGGAAACAGCTGCAGTCTCTTACTATTATCGAGGTACATCCTGAACCATGCACCTTACTAGGGCGGCTGTGGCTGAGTGCTTAGAGCAGTCGTCCTCCAATGCAAGAATTGGGGGTTCGAATCCACCAGAAGTCACATGCCAAAGTGTCCCTGGGCAAGGCACTGAACCCCTCATTGCTTCCGATGTTTGTCCCATCAGTGTATGAATGTGATAAAGCTCTGATTAGTCTCTCTAGAATGATTTGTTCAATTAGCTTTGTAGCGATCTAGTAGAGTGCTCTGTGAATTGTGTGAATGGGTAAATGAGGACACAGATTGTAGTGTAAAGCGCTTTGAGTATCTTGATCAGATAGAAAGATGCTATATAAGTACAGTCCATTTACTTATATTGAGGTACACACTGAACCTTGACTTAGGCGTACTATTACACTACTAGTATTAACATATACATTGAGCCAAGAGATAATGTGATTGGGACAATATTTACCTGAAGAACAGTATGTGTTAACAAGTGACTGGGAGTGGGGGCTGGAGCAGCATTGGATGAGCAGCTCTGAATGGGGGTCTCTGTTGACGCCGGCTGCTGCCTCTCTGGACTGGTCCTGTATGGAGAAGTCGAGCTGGTCGAGCAAGGAAGCCTGACATACTTGTATGGAGTTTTTGGTGTGGTGAAGTCTGTGTCCAGTTGAGTTCCAGATGGAGTTGTGAAGGAACTGTATGACTCTTTGATAACTGGGCTGGTTCCTTCTGCTGGCTGCAGTTTAACTGTGGGACTGGACGGGCTCAGACAGGACGAGGCTTTGGTCATAGATGTGGAAGTGCTGTTAGGGGGTGCTGCTCCCTCCTCAGATAAAGTCTGGAATTTTGGGAGCTGGTCTTTAATGTTAGACATCTCCTGCAGCTGCAGAGGACACCCCAAAGTGGGGGTTTGAGGTTGAATGGAGACCTGCTGGGCTGATTCAGCGAGGGCCGGGATCAACATGCAGGTAGCGTTTTTAGGAGGGAGAGGGGGAGGAAGAGCAGGAGGAGGAGCTGTGGAGCTGAGGGAGTATTGAGTGAGGTCCTTTGAAGAGGCTGGAGAAACAGAAGGAATGAGTGAATCAACACGAAGGTAAGATGGTGACAGGTGCTTTCAGAGGAGGGAAACAGGTGAACATGCTCTTTCAGATAAATTTTTAAAAACAATACAAATTTAGTAGTTTAGATAAAAATGGAAAACGTCAAAACCTAAATAGAGCTGGGCGATCTATCGAGCATATTTGAAATATAGTTTTATAAATCAGTTGTGCTCATTTCTTTCTTCTGGTTCTTGTGCCTCTGAGTCTAACAGCCTGCGTTAAAGTTTCAGACAGTGGTTATTAAAGCTGAACACTGCTCGTTATATTCAGCTCACAGCTTGGTGTACAGATTTCACACTGAGGAGTCAGTACTGACTGTATGTTGTCACTGTGTCGGTCAGAACATGTTTCAGATGTTCAGAGTATAAGAGAACAGATCTAAGGCGCTTCGCCACCGTCTCAACTCTTGTCGGTCCCACTTCACACCACATAAGAAACATTATTAAGAGCCCGTCCACTGCCAGTACCCACCCCCACTCAGCCTGGTTTATGGGACCACCTTGTTCATGCAGACTGCTTCGAGGTGATGATGTTAATGTAAGCAGACAGCAGCCGTTGAATGGTCAGCAGAGCTACGTCACTGGATGACCTGCCCAGTAAAAGTACAAACTAACCTCCACTTTCTCTCTGATCGTGCTGAGTGAGTGTTGTTTTTGCTATGGAAACTCCAATATTAGTGCCGTGGACCAATGATGAAGTACAGACCTTCCTAACTTTATTGGTCAATAACAAAGTCCATGCTCAATAATCCAGGTATACAATCTAACATTTTTCAGTCAGGTCATCTGGACAGTTTCTTTTTTTGTGCTGAAACGTTTCGCCTTCGATTCAGAAGGCTTCATCTGTCAAGGAAACACACAACAAAACCGATTCTTCCCCCAACAGCTTACTCCAAAGTGGAACAAACCAGTTTTGTTTGTGAAAAGATGGTCTCTTTGGTACGCCCCCTCCTCCATCGCGGCCCTCTTCCTTGTTGACAGTCGTGCCAAACTGGTTGAAAACAACAAAGTCCATGCTCAACAATCCAGGTATACAATCCAACATTTTTCAGTCAGGTCATCTGGACAGTTTCTTCTTTTTTTTTTGTGCTGAAACTTTTCGCCTCTTCCTTGACTGATGAATCCTTCTGGATCAAAGGCGAAACGTTTCAGCACAAAAAACGAAACTGTCCAGATGACCTGACTGAAAAATGTTGGATTGTATACCTGGATTATTGAGCATGGACTTTGTTGTTTTCAACCAGTTTTACACGACTGTCAACAAGGAAGAGGGCCGGCAATTGAGGAGGGAGTGTAACAAAGAGACCATCTTATCACAAGCAAAACTGGTTTGTTCCACTTTGGAGTAAGCTGTTGGGGGAAGAATCAGTTTTGTTGTGTGTTTCCTTGACTGATGAAGCCTCCCGGATTGAAGGCGAAACGTTTCAGCACAAAAAAATAAACTGTCCAGATGACCTGACTGAAAAATGTTGGATTGTATACCAGGATTATTGAGCATGGACTTTGTTGTTTTCAACCAGTTTGACACGACTGTCAACAAGGAAGAGGGTCGGCAATGGAGGAGGGGGCGTACCAAAGAGACCATCTTATCACACAAGCAAAACTGGTTTGTTCCACTTTGGAGTAAGCTGTTGGGGGAAGAATCAGTTTTGTTGTGCGTTTCCTCGACTGATGAAGCCTTCTGTATGTATTTCAGCATAAAAAAAGAAACTTTCCAGATGACCTGACTGAAAAATGTTGGCTTATTGGTCAATGCTAGGATTCAGTATGAGCTGGACGATGCCACAAGAAATGAGCACATTTGCAGAGAGATGTCAGAGATTATGGAGCAGCATGGCTACGCCTGGACCTTTAAGTAGTGCCGGGATAAGCTAAAGAAATTAAAGTCCGATATTAGGGTGATTAAGGACCACAACGGGCAGAGTGGCTCAAACACAATGACTTGTTATGATACTGCTTGTTTTGCTTTGATGATCCTGCCTACAGAGCGGGGAAATAAGTCACAGTGGCAAATCACCTCCACCTGAGAAGAGCCGGTAAGACAAGAGCCGAGTGGAGTTTCATCTGACTCTTGTTGATTTGGAAGTAATTTGTTTGTCGCTCTGGTCCACTGTCATCAAGTCGTACCTGGGTGTGGTGACTGGTCAGACACTTGTGCTCTGAGCTGTTGTTGGACAGAATCTTAACTTTGGTTCTGGAGCTGACTGATAAAAGTCTCTCCTGCTGTTGGATGATGGGAGACGACAGCTGTAAGGTTCAGGTTTTTATCTTCCTCCCAGTACACAACTGCATCAGATGTTGCTGGTGAAGATTCTAAGTCATCCAGGACATGATAAACTCAAAAAACGTTCAATACAAAAACAACTGGACTTCATTTGTAACAGAAGACGTTTCGCTCCTCATCCGAGGTGCTTTCTCAATTCAAAGAGCAGTGAGTGACGGGTTCAGGTTATAAGGCTGAGTGAGACACACATACACACAGATACACATAAATACGTAAATTGTCAAGTCACACCTTAACAGTAAGGGTTTCTTAAGGTCTTTGTTACTCTAATTCACAGATGAGGCCCCTCTGTTCCCATCAGGTGTGAAAACTGGCTGGGAATCAGTCTTAAAGTTGCATTACATGTTTTTGAAAGTGAAAATCTGAGGCCTCCGCCTCTGTTAAGTGATGGTTTTTCTCTTTTTACATGAATTGCTTCCTTCACCCCCCTCTCAAACCAACTGTGTTCTTGGCTGTTCATCTCCACCTCATGGATAAGGGACACTCTTTTGAGGACCAAAATGTGCACATTTTGGACCGAGAACACAGATGGTTTGAGAAGGGGGTGAAGGAAGCAATTTATGTAAAAAGAGAAAAAAACATCTCTTAACAGAGGAGGAGGCCTCAGATTTCCACTTTCAAAAACATATAATGCAACTTTAAGACTGATTCCCAGCCAGTTTTTACACCTGATGGGAACAGAGGGGCCTCATCTGTAAATTAAAATGGACTGCACTTATATAGCGCTTTTCTATCTTATGAAGACACTCGAAACGCTTTACAACACAATCTGTGCCTCATTTACCCATTCATACAGCACTCTACTAGATCTATACAAAGCTAATTGAACAAATCATTCTAAAGAGACTAATCAGTGCTTTAGATCACATTCATACAGCGATGGGACACACATCGGAGGCAATGAGGGGTTCAGTGTCTTGCCCAGGGACACTTCAGCATGTGACTGCTGGTGGATTTGAACCCCCAACTCCTGCATTGGAGGACGACTGCTCTAACCACACAGTCACTACAAAGAGTAACAAAGACCTGAAGAAACCCCTACTGTTAAGGTGATGAGGTGTGAATTGACAATCTACATACAAACCGGATTCCAAAAAATTGGGACACTAAACAAATTGTGAATAAAAACTGAATGCAATGATGTGGAGGTGCCAACATCTAATATTTTATTCAGAATAGAACACAAATCACAGATCAAAAGTTTAAACTGAGAGAATGTATCATTTTAAGGGAAAAATCTGTTGTTTCCAAATTTCATGGCATCAACAAATCCCAAAAAAGTTGGGACAAGTCTATTTTTACCACTGTGTGGCATCCCCCCTTCTTCTTACAACACTCAACAGACATCTGGGGACAGAGGAGACCAGTTTCTCAAGTTTAGTGTTGTGGCTTTTTACCACAATCGTGTTCAAGACAGCTGAGACGGTCACCTTAGTTCAAAAGATTTAATTGACAAACAGGAGTTACAGATATTCAGAGACAAACATTAACATTTGGAAAATATATGCATATATTTGGAGCATTAAAGAACGAACCGTCTCGGTGTGTGCTCTCCCGGAAATGCTCGCTGGGCGTGTGTTATTTTTGGCTTTTATCAAAGTTTGAGAAGGCTAGCTTTTCTGATTGGTTTAGACCTGAGGTTGCTATGATTACGGGTCTAGCCCGCCCCCTCAAGGCCCCCTCTTACTGCATTCCAGAGATAAGTTTTATGGAAGCTTGGTTTCTTTGTCTGCGTTTAGACTGTTAACACTCTGTTGTGGAGCATCTAATCATGAATTTATTATTAAGAGAGAACCTGAGGGATTTTACTTAGTCAAACTATATTAAGTCTAAATTAAAGAAATGTGTTCTAGCTTTTATTTATGTTAATCAGTGTGTGTGTGAGCGGCCAGGCCACCATGTGCTCAGAGAACAAAGAAGGACTCTTCCCTCCTGAGTTAGTCAGTAGTCAGTATCTTACCTGCCCCCTGGCTTATTTGATTGCTTGTAATATATCAAATGTGAACTTGTAAAATTATCATTAGCTAATATGAGATTATATGTAAAGGTAAAAATAGTTAGAATTAGTAAACCTTTTCTATAAATATAGTTCAACCCTTGAAGAAAGACACGCACACACTTTGTATAACATGACATTTGAATGCTTGATAGGAAATATAAAAAGGTATAAAAATATGAAATCCAACATTAGAAATAGGAATGCTCTCCCATTCATGTCTAATACAGGCCTCTAACTGTTCAATCGTCTTGGGCCTTCTTTGTCGCACCTTCCTCTTTATGATGCGCCAAATGTTCTCTATAGGTGAAAGATCTGGACTGCAGGCTGGCCATTTCAGTACCCGGATCCTTCTCCTACGTAGCCATGATGTTGTGATTGCTGCAGAATGTGGTCTGGCATTGTCGTGTTGAAAAATGCAGGGTCTTCCCTGAAAGAGATGGCATCTAGATGGGTGCATATGTTGTTCTAGAACCTGAACATAGTTCTCTGCATTAATGGTGCCTTTCCAGACATGCCAGCTGCCCATGCCACAAGCCCTCATGTAACCCCATACCATCAGTGATGCAGGCTTCTGAACAAAGCGTTGATAACAACTTGGGCTATCCTTGTCCTCTCTGGTCCGGATGACATGGCGTCCCAGTGTTCCATAAAGAACTTCAAATCGTGACTCATCT